CCACCAGAGACCAGGTACGAGTGCCCATGAGCAAATGAGTCCGTGTGCAGGCTCTACAAACAGGGCATCTGGGTTCCTAGCCGCCCTCTGCCCCACTGGGAAGGGCTGAGTCCTTGCTGAGTTTCACTGCCAGATGCTGTGGGAACTCCTCTTCCTGACACAGGAACCTTGGTTTGGGGAGCCCAGCATGGGGCTGGGAACCCTCCCTCTTCAGGGGGGACCTCTGCCACCAAGGTTTCCCTTCCGGTGTTCAACCACTATCTGTGGGTTTGGGGTCAGCCTGCTTTGCATCTCCCCACCTCTTACCAGTCTTGATTTGGCCTCTTCTTTATATCCTTAGTTATAGGGGTTCTGTTCAGCTAGTCTTCAGATGCTTTTTGAGGTTGATCTATAATTTATTTGTAATTTTGGTGTGGTCCTGGGATGTAATAGGCATAGCATTTACCTAATCCGCCATCTCGGACCTCTATCCTATTTTGTTTTTTATAAGAGGCATGTGAAGACCAGATCTTTTTAGTTAAGCACTTTTTTAGCCACAAGGTGGAAGTGCCACATTGGGTTCTCTGAAGGCATCCACTGATGATAGACCCCTAACAATATGGACAGAATACTCCCAGAAGAGATTGCTGGGTTAGAGAGCAAAGTAATGATGAGAGTTCTATTCTCAGTGAAATAAAACACAAGCTTCACATTTTGGTCCTGAAATCATTCTCTATTTACTCTTCAGAGCGTCATGAGATAAATACTATGCATAAAAACACTATGCTTTAATGTTGAAGTACAGATATCTTTGATCAATCAGAAAAAATGTATTTGATCTAAGTTAATCAACTGTATTTTCAGTATAAACTCTGGAAACCGTTAGTGAATATGTAAGAAGATGTAGCAATTGTGTAAACTGGTGCTTCTAAAATTTGAGGCTCCAATCTTTAAATAAGTTGCTTTTCATTGTAGAACTAGTGATAGAAAATTTTAAAATGGACTAATCACTTGTTTATATTTTGTTTTCTTTTACTTTCCCTAGAATATCTAATATTTTAAAATTTAGTTGATTTAAAAATTGTACCTTGCTTTTTTGGGGGGTTGGTGGGGAGTAACGGATGCTTTAAGAAACTGCAAATTTAAATATTGAAGGAAATTTCTGCAAAGGGGTTCCTATGTAGTGAATTCTCTTTTGAAAATAGAAAAACTTCCCAATTTATTTTCTAAATTAAGATATTTATCATTTTTTAGAAATCGGTGTCTATAAATTAGCTGTTTCCTACTCAGCCTTTTCTCATTTAAAATTATCTTTTCAGCATGTTACAAAAGGCAGACATAGACTTAAGCCCAACTTCTTTGTGCTATGACTAGAAATTCGATATCAGGGGTTATATCGATGAAGCATTAGGGCTGTTAGTTTTCCAATTCCTACAGGAGGCAAATTCTTTGTTTATAAGTATGCTATTTCAAAAGCATTTTATTATTTGGGACACTTATTTAGCAATTTATTTAGGACAAAAGTCTTTTCCCTATATCATCATTTCCCAAAATGTGTTTGGAAATCTAGGAAGGTGAGTTCAAAGCGATGGTACTAGGCTAAATTATTTAAGAAAATGGCTCCAGGGCCAAGTATGTTTGGACGATTTCTTGTGTGATTTCTTAGACCCTTTACTACATTCACGTGCACTGTGAATTTTCCAAAGGTATTTTATTTTATTACTTTATTTTACCAGAATGCATGCACTTCATCTTCTGCCCCATGGTACAAATTAATTTGGAATATAACTTTAGAATGGGTAATATCACATATAAACTGTTCTGGAAGGACTCTCTGATCTTTGAAGATATATTGCAATATTACCGCCTCATAAAATGTCATTTGGTCTTTCCCGCTTTATTTGGTGATAATCAGTTCACTCTAATATGGGACTTCGTTACACTTGTGTAAGTATTTGTTTTCAAGGTAATGTAATGGAAAGAGACAGCATTCGTTATTTACATGAATATTAATTTATTAAGAATAAACATTCTAGATTTACTGTGTTCAGAGGTAGTCATGGCCAATACCCAATAAAACTTTACAGTCGCAGACAATTTGTGCATTTTAAATTCTTAATTGGAAAGTGAGAAAACTTATAAAATCATCTGTGAAACATCTATAAATGGCTGTGGAGTAGTTCATATGCTAAAGTATGATAAAACAGTTTGTAAGCAATACAGGATAATATCTGCTTATTAGTGATATAAAGTCTACAGCAAAGTTAGACTTTCTCGAAACTTCTGTTTTAGGTGTTCCTTTTTTTTGCTCTTTAACCATTTTCTTTTCTTTTCCCCGCTAAAGTCATGAGGAAAACATAAGGGATTTGTCATAAAATAGACATCAACTGTATTTTCACCACATGCAATAAGAATCAGACTTCTCAGTAAGCATCTTAATCCTGTTGCAATGAGACAATATGCTATGCTCATTTTTCTGTATTTCCTAGGAAAAGATACTTCCAATCAAGTGTTGGATATTGTTACTTTCTAAAGGTAGAACAAATGCAAATTTGGAACAAAATGTTGATTTCTTAAGACTCAGAAATGTTGAGTAGAAGCTTTTTTTTTTTTTTAAGATTTTATTGGGGAAGGGGAACAGTGTTGGGGAATTGGAACAGCCAAGTTGTTGTCCTTCAATCTTAGTTGTGGAGGGCGCAGCTAGCTCAGCTCCAAGTCCAGTCACCGCTTTCAATCTAGTTGCGAGGGGTTGCAACCCACCATCCCATGTGGGAGTCGAACCTGCAACCTTGTTGTTAAGAGCATGTGCTCTCACCAGCTGAGCCATCCTGTCACTTGTTGGCAGCTCAGCGACAGCTCACTGGCCCATGTGGGAATCAAACTGGTGACGCTGTTGCTCAGAGCTTGCGTTCTTAACCAACTGAGTCACTTGGCCAGCCACCCCCCCCCCGCCCTTTTTTTTAAACATTCCTGATATATCCAACAGCTCTAGTCTGAATGTGATAAATTAAGTACCAAAATCAACACTGAAACTCATCTGCAGGGACTTAACATTTCTCTAAAATACTCCCCACCATTTAGATTCATTCATGTTAACATCATAACTTGAGTAGGTATGTCAGAAAAAGTTGTTACGTCATGAAAGTTTCCCTAAATATTATTAAATGATCATTCTACCTAACCAATGTTTCAGTTTTCAGACCAATTCTGTTTGCATCTGAGTCAGAAATTTGGTTTTTAATAAGTTATACTGCCTTCAAAATATTTACCACCTTAGGGTTAATTATCCTTCCTCTACCTGGGCAAGTACAAACAATGGCACCAAAATGTGACTTAACCACTGCTTCTGACAGTCACAGAATTGAGAGTCAAGCAGAGGCCTTCATTTTACAGGTAAGGAAATTGAATGGGGTGAGTTTGAACCCAGGGCTCCTGCCTTTTAATTAATATCATTTTACTCCCATGTGTTATCTTCTTTTTTTTTTTAATTGGGGAGTTGGGGGACTGAAAACAGTGCTGGGGAATTGGGGGAAGGGGAACAGACAAGCTGCTGTCTCTTTTGTTCCTCAGTCTAGCTGTGGAGGATGCCGCCCCACTAGCCCAAGCTGGCACCACCATGGCGCTCTTCCCAGGCGAGGCAGATCAGTCGCTGGTTTCTGGACGGCCACTCACTGCGGCTGCTGGCCGCTCACGCTGGCTGCTGGCCACACACGGTAGCCCATGGCAACCCACTGCCATAGGGGCTGCAGCCTACACCGCCGCCGGCGACTCAGGGCAGCCCAGCTCCAGGTTGAGCTGTTGTTCAGCATCTTAGCTGTAGAGGGCAGTATCACTGGCCCTCATATGTGGGATCCGAACCGGGGCCCTCTGGCGTCCCAAGCCAGTTCTTAACCATCGCGCCACTCGGCCGGCCCCCGTGTGTTATCTTCTAATGTGACAACCTTTACCATGTTGGTTTCTCTATTAAAGGAGTTATATAGAACCTGAGAAGCACATGAGGGTGGGGAACAGTAGGAAAGGTGTTAACGTAGGGAGATGTGGGGATCTGGTCTGATTGTAGCCAGAATTCCATGGTGGTTTCTCCTCTTGATTGGTGGAGGGGGTAGTTGGGACGCTGTGGTATGAGTATACCCCTTGCTGCAAACTACTTTTGAGCACAGAGCTCTTGCTGCAGAATAAGCAGCCCAAACCTGCTCTGAATTGAATTCAGGTTTGGTTTAGATTTGGTTTGGAGATTATTGTAATAATCTCCCCCCCAAAAAAATTGTCTCTAAATGATTTTAAGTTTGATTCTGATAAAATTCCTAATTTTGAAAACATTCCCTTAGGAAATTTACATTAAGGCTCATGAACCAATTGGTCATGTCCCTTCAAAAATTGCTGTCTTAGAAAAGGAAAAGTTAGAATTCAGAATGCTGCATTGGAAAATTGTTTGGGGCTTGATGGTAAATCAAGCCAAATTTTATATACTTTTATATGTAATATACCCAGATCATTTTCTGCAAGGTTATAGTAATATATACTTTCGAGTATATAATAAAGGCTTATTTAAATAAAAATGATCAAGATATTTAGGTTATTGCCCAATTTAAAAGTGATTAAAAGAGGACTGCAACTTCTGTTTATATTAAACATGTATGATTTTTATGCATGTATAATCAGCTTGACACAGGAATAACTCCTAAGTGCCCATGTATCTCTCATTCCTTTGTAGTTCTCAAGCATTTACCAAGCTCAGCACAGCTTCATTTCCAGATCCTACAGAAATTTCAATTTAAGAGCCAAGGAAACTCATTTTCTATGAGCAATACACAGCATTTAGATATCTGCTTGTACTTTCCTCCCCCGTAATCTTACAGATACTGTTCTAAGTTAGGCTGACTCATTAAAGTGGAGAACAATTGCTTTATATTTGAGTACTAATGGTAAAAAGTTTGTTTTCTGATAAAACGTAACTGTAGTGTTATTAACAAGTAACATAATACCTTTACTATGAACCTTAGGATAAATGCAAAGTCTAATAAAAGCACCATATTTGAATTTATTTCTTAATACATATATGAAAACACTGTTATAACTGCTGAGCTGGAAATTGTCAAAGCATAGGTCCTAGTTTCATAAAATGACTCAAAGCCCTATACAGTTTCTGGGAGAGATTGGGAGTAGCAGATTGCTGGAACCCTTTGTTCATTCATTCATTCAGTTCCTAATATGTTCTAGGCCCTCAGGGTATAAAAACAAACTTGCAAACAAATTAAATAGCCCTTGGTCTCAAAGAGCTCACACTCTACTAGAGAAAAATCACATATGGAAATAGAAGATCATAACACAGTGTTCTAAATCCAATAATAGAGGCAACCTGTTTAATTTGGGGAGCAAGGAGGAAGGACCCCCAGAATGATTGGGGTGGGTGAAATGGAAAGAAATGGGGTGATGGTCACCAAAGGCTTCCTGGAGCAGTTGATACCTCAACTGAGTTTTAAAGGAGGTGGAAAGAAAACGTAGTGGGTCAGAATGACATTCCAGACACGGGGGACACAAACAGGACGTTCTATGTGTAGGAACTACAAGCAGTTGTTGATTTTTGTTTTAAACACACCTCTCTCCCCAGTGCTTGTGTGGAGGATGGATGTGAAGAGGAGAAGGCTGGGAGCAGGAGGCCAGTAAGGCTGTTGCAGTGGTGCAGGTGAGCTACAATGGCTGAAACTTGGCCGTGTTAGTAGGCAAGGAGAGAGGGTAGAATCAGTCAACATTTGTAATTAACACAAGTCGTTAGGGACTGACTGAATATATGGATGAAGGAGGGGAGAAAGTATCAAGGATGACTCCCAGGTGTATAGTTTGGGGGTACCAGTAACTGAGAGACTATAGGAAGAAGAGCAGCTCTAGAGAGTAAAGCATGTCCAATTTACGACACGAGTTTGTGGTACCTGTGAGTCACACCCAGGTGGGTATGTCCAGTAAGTAGTTGGACGTAAGTCTGAAGCTCAGGCAAGATGCTAGAATTATACATTTGGGGGTTACCAGCGTAACAGAGGCCTGGCATCTGGGTACAGAAAGGCAGGGACACTTACTTAATTCACCTGTTTTGGGACTGTACACACCAACTTGTTACATTAGGCCCATAGTTGCTTGGGCCACTGAGACGTGGTTGCCTATTTTCTCTCAAATTTCCTTATAACATTGACAAAACTAAATATTCCCAGTCCTGTCGTCAATTTTCCCTGCTCTGAGAACTAATTATATATGGCACTATGTCTTCACATATAGTACTCATAGCAAGGTCTTGTATATAATAGGTGATCAATAAATGCCCATCTTCATTGCTTATATTTATCTGGTACAAAAATAGCTCCTTTTTTTTCTTGTAGGAACTTCTTTATTGCTTCTCAAGTTTAACTTCTTACGAATTCCTAAGACTACTTTAAAATTAAGTGTAAGTGGGTAGTACTTGATAGGTAGGTGTCTTCCATTCATCAACGAAATCATTTCCTTCGGTTATCACCACACATTGCTTGCTGCTGGATTTCGAGACAACTGTTTATCTTCTTAGGGAAGCACCAGTGTGGCGTTTATCCAGTTGTCCCACAGAGGGAGTTAGATTTGCAGTAACCTGGCATGAGTAATCCCTGATTCCAGGTGGTGATGGGGGTGGAGTTTCACATTTTGCTTTATTTGAACAATATGTGAAAAAGAGTCACTAAAAATAGGAACAGACTAGGCTTTGTTGCAGCTGAGTGGCTTGGCAAATTACTGTATAGAGGAATCCTAGGACATGCAAGATTTGATACTGGGACAGGATCCAATTGCCCTCTGAATGGAAATAAAATATCCTTTTTAAGAGCACTGAAGTCCTGGGATTTTTGTGGAATAATCACCTTTGTGAGGTGTGGATGGTGTCCAGGGACTGTAACCTGAGAAGAAACAAGAAACAATTATCTGAGTGATTTCAGATGTTGTCATGGTGCCAACACGGAAAACACTGAAATCCACCCCTAGAATGCACTCTTTATGAAACACATGTAACAACCTGCCAGGCCTCCCAGGCTAGTAACTGCTTCAGCCCTGCTCGCTGAAAGAGCTATCCAATGTCTGTTGATATGAACCGTAGTTGTCAATGCTGTTTTTCAAGAATTACAAAGTGCAATAAAGATGTAAGTCAGGGGAAGGAAGCAGTAGGCTGTTTCTGCCCCATGGCTGTCATGGAGCGCAAAGGTAAAGTGGACTGTTTCGCTTTGTCCCAAGCCTGTACTTCCTATCCTGATTGGGTATCAAGATCATTTATAAGTAGAATTCTTTATTCAATTTATTCCATTTTCCTTGCACCTGATCTAAGGGTACAAGTTTATTGCTTCCTTAAAACGCTTTGATTGTTACCTGGTTTTATTCATATGAGTCTGAATCTTCAGCTAGAAATGATCAGGAAAAAGCAGGCCAAATGCTAAACTAATTGAAGACCATGTCTACTGAGAAATGCTTTTATCCTATATGGTAAAGAGAAAAGGATGCGGGGATAACATTTACATAACCATTCATTGGTATGTAGTTTAGCCATTCATTTCAGCTCCCAAAGTCTTGCCTTCCAATCTTGTCCTAGAACCAGTAGTTAAAGCCAACATGTACTGCGTTAGTCTAACTAACTGGAAATGAACAATTCATAACTATACTATAAAGGTGTGCCTTATTTATGAGATTACAGAGAAATAATTTAGATTCACTACAAGGAAAACCCTTTTTTTCCTAGACTGGAAATGACACAGTTAATAACAGGGAAATAAAGGGACTTTTTTAGGGGAAGATACACAGTGAGTTGGTTTTCCAGCTCTAGCAATCTTCTCAGGAGGAGAGATTCTCAAGAAGAGAATTAGCAGTTGAGGAGCCCCACTGCTGGGCACTGTGGGGGTAACCAATGGAGCAGGGAGGCTCTGACTTCTAGAGTTTTATAAACTGAAAACCATGCCTTTATTATGTCCTAAAGATGAAATAATGAAATACAAAGCTAGTTTTTACTACAGAATAGATGACTACCTTCTCCTAGGAGTAACTGCTATGACTGGGGTCAGATCCACTATGCAAAGGAGAAGAATCTGGAGTTTCTTAGAGAAAAGTCGTATCAGAGAGAAAGGGGCACAATCTGATCAACTAAATCAGGTACTTACTCATTTAGTTCATTTACATATACCTACTCAGGCTCAAACTAGGCCATGCTTCCAACGAGGAAGAAATGACTCAGAAACATGTCATCTTAAATTAGAATTAAAACCTGGAATTTTACTGGCATCGATTGGAAAACTCACCATCATTTGTTTAGGAAAGTGCTGCAAAATGTCTATCACTTTCTTAATATAGTGGTAACATTTGTGGATCAAACTTTACTTAAAATAGAATTCTAAAGAACTTGTATCCCAATCTTTTTTAATAGCAGAAATTATGTTTCATGGAATGGGCATTAAAATGATATTCCATGAAGTTTGAAAGTACTTTGGCTACATTGTTTAGTTATTAGTATTAATAAGGTTTGTTCCATTTTTATCATAAAAGGTATCACAAGATATAGGATTTGGCTTCTATTTAAAAAATTGCCAGCTGGGGATAAAAACGTGATTTTTTTGGTTGGTTCTTATGCTCACCTCTCTCACTTCCTGCCAAACACAAGTCTGATATTGTCATTTCCTCCTGTCCTGATGTACTACTTTTGGACTTTCCAGACTTATTTTAGATTCCTGCTGGGTGAGGAAGTATTATGAGTTTTATAATATTTTAATAACAATAAGTAGAACTGTATACTTACATTTAATGTGTAGGACCCAGGCAAAAGCAGGAGATAATATTCTCCAAATTTGTTAGTTTTATAGGGGCAGATATGTTTTCTGTCTTGGACTTCTACAATTACATTGGGTAATGGATTTCCACTCTGATCAAAAACTTGACCCTTTACACCTGCAAGACAAAAAGAGAATTAAATATTAATACCATGTTTTATGGCATATGAAAAAAATTCTTGCAATTATTTAAGAAAAAAATGTTCCCTCTTTATTTTTTGGAAGAGTTATATGGTCTCAGGCTTTTGTTTGTTGGGAGGTTTTGATTACTGATTCAATCTCCTTACCAGTAAAAGATCTGTTCAGAGTTCTATTTCTTCATGATTCAGTCTTGGTAGTGTATGTTTCTAGGAATTTAACCATTTCTTCTAGGTTGTCAATTTTTTTGGTGTATAATTGTTCATAGTAGTCTCCTACAATCCTTTGTGTTTCTTTGATATCAGTTGTAAGTCTCCTCTTATATTTTAGATTTCATTTGAGTCCTCTCTCTCTTTCTTGATGAGTCTAGCTAAAGGTTTGTCAATTTTGTTTATTTTTTCAAACAACCAGCTCTTAGTTCTATTGATCTTTTCTATTGTCTTTATATCTCGATTTTATTTATTTCTGCTCTGATCTTTGTTATCTTCTTCCTTCTACTAACTTTGGGCTTAGTTTGTTCTTTTTCTGCTTCCTTTTCTTCTTTTTTACTATCCATTAAGAAATTATTGTGCTTAGTTAGTTTTACTACTTTTGTCTTTTAACCTTCATACTAGCCTTATAAGTGATTAACTTGCTACCTTTTACAACATTAGGTTATTCTGAATTTTACTAAATATTTATCTTTACCAGTTAGATTTATACTTTCATATGTTTTCCTGTTACTAATTAGTGTCCTTTGGTTTCAGCTTAAAGAAGTTCCTTTAACATTTCTTGTAAAGCTGATCTAGTGGTGATGAACTCCTTTAGCTTTCGCTTGTCTGGAAAACTTTGTCTTTCCTTCAATTCTGAAGGACAACTTTGCTAGGTAGAGTACTATTGGTTGGCATTTTATTTTTCCTTTTAGCACTTTGAATATGTCACGCAACTCCCTTCTGGCTGGAAAAGTTTCTGTTGAAAAATCTACGGATAATCTTACGGGTCTTCAACTGTGTGACTTCTAGTTGGTGCTGTCTTATATTTTCTATCTCTTTGTTGAAATTCTCATTTTGTTCATGCATTATTCTCCTGCTGTTGGTGGTCGGTGAGCATCTTTATGGTCATTTTTTGAACTCTACTATGTAAATCACTTATCTGGATTTCACTGAGTTCTTTTTCTGAGGTTTTATCTTGTTCCTTTGTTTGGAACATAGTCCTTTGTTTATTTATTTTATTTTACTCTCTGTTGGTTTCTACACATTAGATAAAACAGCCGCCTTTCCCAGTTTTGAAGGAGTGGCCTCATGTAGGAGATGAATCTTATCCTTGAACCCTATCCTAGCTCTTTGTTGCCTCTCAAATCTTTGTAATTGTCTAAGCAGCCTACTTTATTCTCAGTGGCCCCAGTACTTAAGCATGTGCCAAGACCTTTCCGTGTCCCAAATGGGAGGATCTTCAGTCAGCACTTAGGTTCAGGCTAATTGGAAGCCAGACCCTCAGGAAAGCAGCTTTTAAAGTATGCAAATATACCTTTTTCAGGGGAAGACTTGGAGGTGGACATTTCTGTTTGCTCCCACTGCACTGAGCCTGGGGTGATAGCCAGTTAAGAACCATTGCTTTGTTTGCTAATGTCCTACTGAACTGGTGAACACAAGCCCTGCTGGCCACCAGACCCAGGCAATCAAGGGTTATCTCATGGGTGGCAGCCACAGAAACTGGGACACCAGGTGAGTGCACAAGCTCCTTTCTGAAAGATACTGGCGACCTGGAGGGAGGTGGAAGATGAGCACACTGTACCTGCCAGGGTCCGTCTTTGGAGAGTAATTTAGTAGGCCCCTAGATGTGGATTAAATTAGATGCCTGCCCCTCAGGCTGAAGCTATAAGACAAGCAAATAGGCCTCTTTCACAGAAAGACTGGGCACTTTTTTCAGTTGACTGCCTCTGCATTCGTTGTGCCCGGGGGGGGGGGGGGGGGGGGGGGGGGGTAGCCAGGTGAGTCTGTGTGAGCCTTCCAAAACTGTTTCTGTTAGCCTTGTGGTTTCTCATAGATGTAAGCCCCAAGGCTTTCAAAGCAAGATGTTTTAGAGGCTCATCTCTCGGGTACAGGTCTTAAAAGTTGGGGTGCCAGGTATGGAGTTCAAAGCCTTCACATCTTGGGGAAAAGCTCAGAGTTTTGAGTTCCTTCCTGATTCTGGGTCACTGTACCGGGAATAAGGGTTATGGTGACATTGTCTCAGCCTCTCCTCCCATTTCGATGTGGGTTTTTTTTTTCCTCATTCACCTGATGTGTAGGAATCTGTTAGGTAGTTTTTGGGTTTCTTTCAGAGGAATCTGTTCCACATGTAGCTGTAGATTTGGTGTGTCTGGAAAGAAGTGGGTTCAGGGGCCTCCTACATTGCCATCTTGAACCAGAACTTGGTAAACTTATTTCTGATGTATCTTAAAATACAGTCAAACTCCAACTTGATTTATAAGTTAAATATGTTGTTATATCAAAATAAAAGAACATACATGATAGTCTAAATCCATTCCTGTCATATTCAAGGTGTTTACTCAGTCACCAAACTGTACTACAACATTACCATAGGTGGATTCCACAAAATCCTAAACAAAACTCAAAAATACCAATGTATTAATTTACAATAAGATACTTATCTAGGGACTCAGTAGTTTTGTCTCGTGATCAGGTAAACTATAATACATGGGAAACAAAATTATAATCACGGGGTTGCTATGAAGCATGGAATTGATTGATGAGGTCTTATTACTAATGAAATAGCAAACATTTACTGAGTAGTTAGTATACTTCAGGCTCTATGCTAAGTGCTTTTTTTTTTTTTTTTAGCTGAGCCATCCTGCCACCTGTTGGCAGCTCAGCGGCAGCTCAGCTCAGGCCGGGAATTGAACCAGCAACCCTGTTGCTCAGAGCTTGCACTCTTGAGCGAGTTCTTAACCAACTGAGCCACTTGGCCAGCCCTGGTAAGTGCTTAATGTGCATTTTCTCACTGATTCCTCACATCAGCTTTATGAGGTAGGCAATGTTATTATCACAATTTTAAAGATGAGGAAACTAAGGCTTTGGATATTAAATAAACCTTCTTAAGCTCACCTAACCAACTAAGTGATAGAGCCCAGCTATAAATCCATGGTAGTCCCAAATCCATGGTACCTGACACCATACCCCTCACCTCAAAATTTCAGGAGTAAAGTTTGTAAAAAGACATATTTTAAAACTCTTCTCATTTTAAATTCTATGTTTCACATTTTGTTTTGTTCACTCCGACACAAATCATGTTACCTTAATGAAATGAAGGAGAAAGATGAGGCCACAATGAAAAAATTACCCTGAACTATCCCCAGTTATACTTAGTAATTATTTACGAGGACAGAAAAATATGAGGCACACATTAAGTAGTTTCCTTCAGAAAAGGTTAACATGAAGTGTAAAAAGTTTTGACATTTAGAAATAAAATCTTTATCTTGAACATTAAGCAAACTTCTATCTGGCCCAAGTTGTCTTTAATTTCTTTCCTAATTCTTGACTCTTCATTTTTTTCCTCCAGAGAAAGAATTATTAAAACCCATATTTTCTTCTCACTTTTCCAAATAGGTCAACTATGTAAACCTCTATTTTCATGTAATTTGTCCCTCTTTTGCCTCTTAATAAAATGTTCCATTTACATCTATTCCTACTACTTGGTATGTAGTAGGAATAAATATATTTTTGATCTTTTGATCTTTAGGAGCACTAAACCATAAATATCAGTCATAATTGAGTAATCTGATTATGCATTTATTCATTAGATTTCAGTGGCATTATTCTTTGAAGAGATGTTTCCATTGTGCCCTTCTTAGGAGGTCCTTTGATACATTAGATAAATACAGCATAGCTTAGTGTGACAAAAAGACCAGTCAGGTCTCAATTTCAATCCTAGCTCCCTGTCACTAAACATTCCCAAGCCTGAATTTCATCACCTATAAAATGGGGATAATATATAGCACCTTCCAGGATGGTCATGAAGATTAAATGCAAGTAACACAGAACAGGGGGCTTAACAAATATTAATCCTTTTCTTATATGGATAAGAAAAACTATACAAAGGAATAGAAAGACTATAGCTGTGTAATTTTGGAATTGAAACAGAAATACTGGGTAAGTTTCTGGAATCTCGATTCAAATTTGTTCCACTAGGGCAGGAATATGTGAAGGAAGAAACTATGTATATTTTTTCCTTCTTCAGGTCTCTGAACTAGCTTATCATCTTCCTGCCACTTAGAAAATGTGTGCATTTGAGTAAGATAGCTTGTGGTAGTGTCTGTTAGCTTCCTTTGTATTTTTCATTGATTTCTACAGAACTAACCAAATCAAGCAAAACCCAAACTCAAAAACTAAAAACTATCTTTGAATCTGACTTTACACCATCTTTTAACATCTAAGATAATGCTGAAATAGGATTCAGGATACTAATAATGAGTAGTTGGCAGAAGGCACCAAAAAAAAAAATAGTACCTTAAAAAAGAGTAGTAAATTCCTTCTTGGCTAGAAATGGTTATACTTTAATAGAACAGACTTGAATTTTTGCATGAACAGTGTTTTTGGATGGACGTAGGTACCTATATACAACAGTCATATGTCAGTATGTGTCACAAGTGAACAAAGATTTCAAGTGTCCTGTGGTCTGCCTACTACAGGCAAAGGAATATTTGGATTTAGGGCATCACTAAAAGTCTTCATATTTTAGTTTGACTGTCATTAACTATCCTCTGAAAATCCAAAAGATTCATTTCGATATGACCCTTACCCAAACCTAGAGACAGTTCTTCAAGCGATGGAGGGCTGGGCTATTTGAATATCACTGTTGTTGAACAAACACAGACCATGCCAAAATATGGAGTTTCTATTAAGGGAAAACCCCCATACCGCCAGCCAAATGAAAGCTGTCTTCAGATCTTACATGTCTTTACAATATTCTATCCAGACACCACCAAACCTTCCACGTAGAGGGAAGTAATTGTCTTACCAGAAGATAGGATTTATCTCTATTATGCTCAAATCAACACATTGAGAAAAGATCAGTAGATCCGAAGAGATGCAGAAAGAGCCAGCACTATTATTAATATATCAGGGGAACAAAAAGTAAACATTGGAAAAAATAGCTCAGATAATAAACAAAGGAGAATAAAATCTAAGACTTAGATTTTGTGGCCATATCTGGAAATGAGGGGGAGAAACGTAAAGCTCTCCTTCCCAAGCTTCAGGGATGAGAAATGTGTGCCGGGCAAGAACAGTGGGCTACAGGGCAGAGTCCGAGCTGAGTGGCAGACTGTTCGTTCACTTCCAGGGCTCCACCGAATAATCACAGTTGCCACCTATGCTGGATCTGATGACAGATGCATATCTGTGTCCTGGGCTTCTGGAACTCGGCACCTACCAGATTCTCTTAGGCCAGTTTGCTTAGGTTTCTTGGTGCTGTGGGCCATCCCCCAAACCTTGGGGTTCAGATCTGCTTTGAGGGGAGAGGACAGCAACAGGTAACATCACGGCTTGCTCATCTTTGCTTCTCCCCGGAGAGGGGGACAAGCATCCCAGGCTCCTAGAACTCAGACTTGCCCTGCTCTGCTATCTTGGCCTTAATGTCTTCAACCCCTATTAAAATACCGAAGGCATTCTACTCAGAACAGCTAATCCTAAAATGTATATGGAGCCACACAAGACCCCAAAGAGCCAAAGAAACCTTGAGCAAGAACCTAGTGGAAAGTAGCACACTTCCTCATTTCAAACTAGACTACGAAGGTACAGTAATCAAAACAGCATGGTACTCGCATAAAAACATACATAAGATCAATGCAGTAGAACAGACAGCCCAGAAATAAATCCTCGCTTATATGGTTAATTAATCGACAATGAAGTGGGCAAGGATATACAATGGGGTAAAGACAGTCTTTTCAACAAGTGGTACTGGGAAAACTGGACAGATACATGCAAAAAAAAAATTAGACCATTAAGCATGATTACACAGCACCAAGGGGCCTCAGTTTAGATTGACGTTGGCATTGAATTTAATGGAAAGAATAACCCCGCTGGAGCCTGACAACAAGCTGAGTGAGGCAAAGGAGAGGCTATTCTTCCCTTTTCAGGTGACTAAAACTTTAGACAAAGGGCTCACTCAAGATTACACACAGGGGCAGATGACGAAACAGCTGGGGTCCTACCCAGGCTCCTGTCCTTTTGCCCAGGTCCTTCCATCAGAACAGGAGGCCTTTCCTTCCCAGACAAGACAGGCCAGAGACTTCCAGATGGGTGAAAATCTCAGAGGCATCTTAGCAAGTGGTGAACATGACGCAGCTTGACAAGTACCAATATTTTCCTTAAACCAGAACAATACCAGTAAGGTGGTGTTTGCTTCCACCACCCACCTACTGGGCACCAATATGAAGAGAAGCTTTCTATCAAGTAACAATAACCACATGGTGTCAGTATTTTGAAACAGGGTTTCATGATTAAACTAGGAAAAAAAAATTAAAAAATGCCTGTGTTAAGCCACAAGGGGGCAGGGTTGATGTGTTAATGTATGTGGTTTTAAGTGAATCGTGCACATCTGATTATAGAAACAGGCAGATAGATATTCTTTATAAAACCTAGTGTAAATGGACTTGTAAGCCTTCCAAATTAATAATCACAAGAGCTATACTGTAATTTGTATGTCATTTAACAGTTTATAAACTCCTTCACTGGCAATATGTCAGCACGTTACTTCAGAGCCTGCCTTAATTCAGTGCTTCGCAAAAAAACCTTTACTGAAATCCAGAAAATAGAATATTGCAGTTACCGGGGGCATATTTCACATTCAGTTGCCCTCTCATGTTCATGCTGATGGAGGAGGAATTTTAGAAAAGAATAGGTGGAGTAACACATTACTGAAGTATCAATGTAGGTAGAAAGGCTAAATTATTATGTGCCTCATGAGGAAAATCTAGTGGAGAAATACCAGAATACTAAGCAAAAGAGGACCCAAAGCAAAGTTTGATGACATAATTAGGGAGGAGAAAAACCCGATAATAAGCTGAATATATATTATTAAGATGCTGGTGAAAAATATGACATTTTGAAACACCCCCCATCACAGGGACTCAACCTACCCCATCTATGCCTCAGCCAGTTAGGCACAGCCCTGTGAGTTCACCAGCCACCTATGCATACTTATGTTGGGGTGAGGGGCACGGGGTTGGGGATACAGGTTTGAAAGGGGTTGGGCATCCATTTTGGGGACATGTGGCCAAGGGAAGCACTTAATTGCCCTTGTACTCAGCCTGGTACCCCCGTGCTTTTGACTTTTCCCTCCTTCAACCGTCTCCATCTCTTAGCAGGTGGAAAGCTTTGATGTGAAGCATGCAGAAAATTACAGGAATTAGGCAATTATGCAGCAGGCATGTGATGCAAACCTGTTCAGCCCAAACACACACCCTCCACTGTGGCTTGATGTGGTAGCGTAACCATCATGCCAGTTCCTGACGTGTTTCTTCCCCCAAGCCATCTGAGTGGAGAAAAGGAACTCTGGCAATGCAGAAAAGCCATCCACGCCCTGCCCAGAGACAGGCTGGTGAAATAAACCTGAACTGTGTGTGATTCCATCATCATCCCCAGTAGGGTGTTTCTCGAGTGCAGTGGTTTTCAGAGCCTGGTCCCTGGAACAGCAGCAGCATCACCTGGGAAGATGTTAACCATTCAAGACCCACGAAGTCCAACTCTGGGGCTGGGACCTGGCAATCGGTCTTTTAACAAGCCCTCCTGTGAGCCTGCTGCAGGTTTGAGAAAGACCAGTCTTGCCACATTTAGTCTGTCCATGTGTGATAAAGGCCAGACAGCCATCAAGAAAGCGGGCTGGGAAGATTCCCAGGTCATTTGGCAGAGTTAAAGCTAATGGTGCTAGAAGGACCTCAGTCAATTCTAGAAAAAAAACAAAAATGGCATGTCCAATGTTCTGAGTCTGTGAAACCGTGTGGCAAGTGACAAGCAAACCTGGCTTTTTATTTTTTACTGGGTAATGATGTAACAGAGAAACAGCCTGTTTTCCTGATCTTTTGCCAGATTCCCAGGTCATTCAACACATAAAATTATAAATACTCTGGATTTTACACCCCTATAGTAAAGCAATATCCATTATTCTTTCCTTTATGTGAACGGATAGTCACTACATTTCTTCCACACTGCAGATAATTCATGCAGAGATAATGCTTAACCATTAGTGCTCTTACTGAAAATGAGGCAGGACCGAGAAGAAGCAAATAGGGGCTTGCATTTTCTCAACCCAAAGCTTCTGCCAGATGCTATATTTTGTGTTAACAGAAATTAATAAGAAAATCTTACAAACCTAGGTGCACCTGTTTTATATATTCAATCAATGAAGCTTTGTTAAGATTCCAGAAGGTTGAAAGCTTCTCCTCACGAGGATATTTACAGCATGACAGTTCCAACGTGATTTCAAAACACTGGGCCCAGATATAGTTGTAATCTTGCATTCCACCTAAACACAAGCATATTTAATATTTTTTAAGGTCTAAAATTGGAGTGGAGCAAAGTGTCATGTACGTTGAGGACAAGTGAAAGAAAATACACGTAAACAGGAAAGGACGTATTAGCATATAAAATTAGGGTTTGACATTTAATTACCCAGGCATGACCAGGCAGTCCTAAACATTCCCATATGGGTAACCGGATCACAGCTGATTGACGTTCAACTGTGCATTAGAATTAAGTGAGGGGTAGCAGAAGGGTCCTATTTTGTAATCATACATTACAAAAAGGATTCTTCAAATTATATTTCTTTCCTAAATTACATTTAAACAGATGTAAACTACAGTGAGATTTCTTTAAAAATATTCCTACAAATCACTTATTTTTATTATGTAAAGCTAAGTACGCTACTTTGAAGGAATAATAACAGCCAACGTTTACGAAGCGTTCACTATTGCTAGGTCCTGAGTTAAGAGCTGTGTATCAACTCATTTAAGCCTCACAGCAGTTATTACCCATATTTTACAGATGAGGAAACTTAATCACAAATGGTAAGTAACATGCCCAGGGGCTCTAGCCAGGGGATGACAGACTGGGGCACAGACTCCTGCCGGAGTCCCCGTACTTTCAGCCACGATGCCAAACTGCTGCTGTGAAGGAAAGAAAGGGCGCAGTGCTGACTCTTGGGGAGGGACAGGCCCGGGCCCCTCCTGTTTCTGGGGTTGCCGCTGCCCGTGCTTACTGTCCAGCTCTTAACTCTAGAGACCCTACTTTCAAAGGGTTATACTCATATTTTCTAAAATGCAAAGCTTTTCATATTTTCAAATCTCTGAATTGGGATGTGTCTTGAATGTGATAGCTGAAAAACATCATTGTGTCATGAGTTCGGCTGGAAACGTCTTTTTTTCTTTCTCGGTAGTACACTGTACTTTACAATCAGTGCCACCTTGGATTTGATGAAACATAGTAACTTCGAAGGAAGTAGTTTCTGCCCAATTTTAATTTGTTAGGCTTGATATCGGCCCAGTACAATATGTATTTTCAACTCCATCAGGGTATTTGGGAAGTAGTAAAGTCGAAAAAGTTTTATGCTAAAAAAAGTGGTCAAAATATTATGTCAAAATATTATTTAAATGTTAAGTAGGATCGATGTAGGTCCAGATTCCAGCCAGGAAGAATTTCTCTGTCCTTTCTATTTTGAAGAGTTTTGTATTTCTCTCTGACCCCATTTTCACCATGAAATAGAAGAGGGAGAAACGGTGAGAGACACAAAACAAAAGCCCTTGCTGTGATGACCATGTCTCAGGTAGAAAGAATTTAAATGGTAAAACAGGTGTGCAAAGCATGCAGGATTGAGACTGCCAAGCATGGCGAGTGTGTAGCTCTGGATGAGGTCAGTCAGGCCCGGCTGACAAGACCTCCACGCTGAGCCAGAATGCTTTAAGCTCCTCGGAGAAGCTGGCTGTCTGCTGTTTTTCTCAGAAGGAGACACAGCTCACACACAGGCACACTTGAGAACAATTCCTGGCAGCAAGGTGGGTTCCTAGCTAATTTCCCACACACCTGGGTCTGTCTTGAAAGTTAGTGCACATGAAGGACAGCTCCGCATTCGGCAGGAGAGGGCTCTTTCGTCCCTGTGAAGAGTGATGGGCAGACTAAGCTGGAGCCCTGAGGGGGATGGAGGTAGGGAGGCTGTACCCTACCGGAGGGAAGTTTGGGCTGTTGTGGTCCTGCTGCCTACCAATTGTGGTCTAGCTTATTTGTGTTACCTGGAAAGCTGGTAGAAAGCTGCCCAGACACAAACGTACCAGCTTGTGCAAGACTCCTTATAGCCTGGGCATCCAGAGGGACAACGGGGGAAGTGGCCTGCAGCTTGCTGTTGGTAGGATCAGGCTGAAGAGTCTCAAAGGAGGCACTTTCCACTGAGGCCATGGGAACCCGGTTCCAGCCCACTGTCCACTGTCTTCCCTCTCACCCTTCCATCCTAGGCACCTCCTGTTTTCTCTTAGTTCCCAGACTAGGACGAGTTCTTTGACACCCCTGGGCTTCTGCTTCCATTATTCCTTCTGATAGGAACGTCCCCCCATCCATGTTCCCTACCTGGCAGTCTCCTCACCTCCCCCTTCCTCACCTGGCCATCCTGTTCCAAGGGTGGAAAACTGGTGCCCCCCCCCCACTGTATCCAGCCTGCAGAGCTCTTTTAGCCTGCAGTGTGGCAAAATTTAAAATCATGAGACTTCATTGTACAAATCCAGCTTGTTTTACAAACTGGGAGATCTGGCAATATTGGGACCCACTCCCTGCTGCCTGCAATAATTCACTGGATCTAAGGAGCAGCTGTCCCCATTAGATGAGACGTAAGCATTACATTTCTCCAAGGTCTCCACCACTCCCTATTTACACAGGTGGTACACTGTACCTTTTCTAAATCTCTATTCTAATTATACTGCCATTACAGCGACTTATTTGCATGTTGCTCTTCCTTATTAAACTTGGGGTTATGACCTGTGTCCTGTTCATCTTTCTTGGCACCGTTCCTGACTCATAGTAGGAAAATGCTGAACAAGCATCTGAATAAATGAAGGTGGCCTTGGCACTGAGGAACATGTCTGAGCTTTTCTCCAACGATCAGTCACCCCCACTGCTCTTGGGATATTAGCTGACAGAGACATGACGGAAGGGACTGCACTGGGACTGATACACTTTTGACAGCTGTCGGAGGTCAACAAAAACCAGCTGGCATCTCTGGGTGCAGGCAGTAAGAAAAATGGTAGAAACAAGGAGAAACTCACCTTTGAGTGGATACCAAGAGTATCCATTTGTAATTCCATCAGGAAAGTTCATTTTATTTTTACACTGATCTCCTTTCATGTTGGGATTTCTTGAAGCATAGGTATTTGCAAGATATTGAAAAACATCGTCATCAGGGGTTAAGCTCCGGGAGTGTAATGTTCCAGTTCCTGTGTGTGGAAGAGAAACCAAGGCCTTTCAGTTGATGTTAGAGTCAGAGGAAGCACCGCAGTACCACACTAGCAAATACATCATGGTATCACACACAAAGGCTCTCATTTCCTGGAGAGAAATCCTCTCCCCACTTCCATGAACGCTCCCTCTACTCTTCTTGCTATTTTTAATGAACATACACAAGGTGACATCACACAAAATAAGCCACATACATATCCAAACTCCTAAATCAGTAACAGTTAAATATCCTTAGTCACTCTTGCTAATTTCTGGAGGCCAGTAAACTTTCCTTCGATACTGTAGGGATTAAAGGAAGCCGCTGTAATAGTTTAAGTCCTTGGTACATAGCTCATCCTGCTGAGTTTTAAGAGGAGTTAGCAATTATTACTCATATAATTAGCAAAGAAAGGTAAGTTGTTCTAGTTTAATTTTCTTTTAGCCATGTTGCCGCTTGTGAGATCACCTAAATCCCAGTTTTACTATTTCACTGATGAATGTCAATGAATCCTGTTGTTGCTTGTCAGTTCAGCCATGTTGCCCATCTACTGTTTAGAAATCGTAAGGAAGGATAGCTTGGGGTTGAGAAAATGAGGCTCTTTCTACTCCTGCCAGATAAGTTGAATGGAGAGAAGAGTTTATCCCCACTCAGAGGCAGAGAATTTGTAGTTTCACTCTGGGCTTGGAAGGCCAGAGCGGGGCCTGTGTTTGCTTACCTGGAACGCCATTATCAAATGGGTAACTGGCCACCAGGGCACCACCGTGCAGGTTTGCAGAGAGGACGAACGTCTCTGTTTTCAGCCACTCCATGACTGCCATAGTTTCAGGCTGCCTTGATACGTTATTAAATTCAAAAGCATCAGGGAAGTTTCTATTCAAGTCATAGAAGTTACCATTTTCCCTTTAAAAGAAAGAATTTTTCAGGGTTTACTTGGCGGTATGTGAGAGAGTGGATTCGTGCGTTGTGTAAACCTTTGGTTTGGGCTCTGGGTGTTTTTCCAAATATGAATCCAGGGGTGGTGGAAGTTTGCCTTAGCAGCTTCCAGTGACTCACACCTGGCATTCACACAGTATGCAGTCCCCCTCCCATGTGACTTGCTCTCACCAATGGGACAGTAGCTGTTGTGATGGAAGCAGAGGTTTGATAAGTGTTTTGCATTTCAGGGTGTTTGCTCTTGGACCCCCCTTTTTGGAATCCTCAGATCCTAATGGAGAGTCCACATGGGGAAATGAAGTACCCAGTAACAGCCGGACCTGAGACCCCAGACATATGGTCCTGGGAGGGCTGTCAAACTCCAGCTGAGGCCCCAGACATCACGGCACAGAGATTAGCCCTCCCTACTCTGCCTGGCCCAAATCCCTAACTTACAGAATTGAGAGTAAATAAAAAGGGTTGTTTTAAGATTCTACATTTTGGGGTGGTTTGTTACATAGCATTTGATAACAGAAACAACAGGAACGTGCTACTTTATACAAATGTATTTCTGAAAAGCGAACTGGTCATGTGTAAATATGCTAGAAAAACTTAAAAGTTGAAGGGAATCAAGTGGTGAGATTTTATTTATTTTTGGTAAAAGCAAACAAATTTTTCATTGCACAAATATAAATGCATATTAGACATTTGAGAGCTTGCTTGGAGGTTATAGTAGGGGAGTGCAGCTACTTGTATACCCTTGACCGAAGAACGGTCCTCTCCTCTATCGGGGAAGGGCGTCTTCTTCGACCAAGCACGCAGCTTCTGCAGAGACGCACATGGAGCGGTAAGGGAGGAAGAGGACACCCGCCTAACCAGCCAGATCAGCTGAATCAACCCTGGCGATCAATGAGGTGACAGATGTCACAGCCAGATCGCCCTCACATCCTAGACATTTGGGAAATGATAAACTTCCTGAGGTAGCTTGAAACAAAATAAACTGTTTACATCAGAAATACTACAAGCCTCATTGTTTTTTTGGATTAGTTCTTGTACTGGGTAATAAAGCAAGTGGTCATTATTGGGGGCCTAGGGACTGTGCAAGGCCCTGGGGATTAACAGTGATGCACACAATCGGCAGGACGCCTGCCCTTGGGTCGCTTATAGTTTAGATGTTTAACAAGACATTAGACATTAAAAATTGTACTTTGAGGGTAAAGTGCTAGGGTGATAAGAGTATAACTGGGGACCTAACGTAGACTAAGGAAAGAGTCTTTGAGGAAGTGCTGTTTAAGCATCGAGAGGGGTGAGGGGTGGGAGATGGGCTGTGAAGAATGCCTGAGGTGAGGAAGAACCTGGTAATTCCAGGAGATGAAGGAAGGTCAGAGTGGCCCAAGCAGGGGGAGGGGGGAGGGGGCATGGCAAAGGAAGCAGTAAGGTGGGCACTGGAGGAAAGCAGCCTCATTCCAGATTTTCCTTTTCATCCTAAAAGCAATGGGCAGGCAGCCCTGAGGAGTCTGCAGCACAGCGATGCCATGACACCGGCTATGAGATGGTTCACGAACTCCTCTCGCAGGGCCAAGGGGTACCTTCTGATGGGGGCCTTTTGTTTTGTTTCTAATAAAGATCGACTAGCCTGTCATTACCTCCCGTTACTGTAAAAACAGTCAGGCTTTCTGACAGCTTCAAATCCATCTGGGTTCATTGAAGGCATGATGTGTATCCGGGTATTGTTGATTAAATTGGTGACTTCAAGGTCTTTTCCATCATGGGTTACGAGATACTCAATTAAATGGAGCAGCAGTTCCCGCCCTACAGTCTATATATGAGAAAAGGGGATATTATTAGGTCAGAGGAAAACAAGGAAAACAGCCCCCAAAACACAAATTCTCCAACAAGGGACTCTACACATGGTCTCTGAGATCAAAACCAGTTGCGAGACAGACCACTGTTTCTCAAGCATATTGATACTCTGCCAAGTGCCAATCAATCACGGGTGTGCTGAAAGCTTTTTTTTTTTTAAAGATTTTTCTTTTAATTGGGGAATTGGGGGAGGGGAACAGCACTGGGGAATCGGGGAAGAGGAACAGACAAGTTGCTGTCCTTTTGTTCTTCAGTCTAGTTGTGGAGGACGTCGCTTCACTGGCCCATGTTGATATTATCATTGCGCTCTTCCCGGGTGAGGCAGATCGGTTGCCGGCCTCTGGACGGCCGCTTGTGGAGGCTCTTGGCAGCTCACACCGGCTGCCGGGCCACACACAATAGCTTATGGCAGCCCACTGCAGCAGGGGTGCAGCCTACACCGTCGCAGGCGACTCATGGAAGCCCAGCTTCAGGTCGAGCTGTTGTTCACCATCTTAGCTGTAGAGGGCAGTGTCACTGGCCCTCATGTGGGGTCCGAACCGGGGCCCTGCTGCTCAGAACTGGCGTCCCAAGCCAGCTCTTAACCAACGTGCCACTCGGCCGGCCCTGAAAACTTATTTGTTAATAAAAGTTTTTTTTTAACATTAATTAAAAAATACCCAGGCCGGCCGAGTGGCTCAGTTTGTTAAGAGTTGAGAGCGTGAGCTCTGAGCAACAGGGCCGCCAGATTGATTCCCACATGGGCCAGTGACACTGCGCCTGAGCTGAGCTGTCACTGAGCTGCCAACAGGTGGCAGGATGGCTCAGCTGGTGTAACAACAAGATTGTCTGTTTGATAGTGGACTATGCCCACCCGCAACTAAGACTGAACTCAGCACCTTGAGCTGAGCTGCTGCCCAGGTGGTTCAGTGGATAGAGCATGCGCTCTTAACAACAAGGCAGCTGGTTCGACTCCTGCATGGAATGGTGGCTGCACCTACCCGCAACTAAGATTGAACACAGCACCTTGAGCGTAGAGGCCACGAGCTGCTGACGGGAAGCCAAATGGCAACTGGCGCCCTCCACAATGAAGATTGAAGAACAACTTGGCTGGTTCCCTTCCCCAAATTCCCCAACACTGTTTTCCTCCCCCAATTGCCCAATAAAATCTTTTAAAACAAAATACCCATTTGTAAATAATTTACTTTTTAAAAATGAATTAGAGTAAAGTTTATTCTTATTATGATATTTCCAATTTGCTTCCCTTCTGAAATACTTTCTGGAGTAGTAGAGAAAAAGGTGGGGTTGGCATGGGAGTTGTGTGTCTCCATGAAAATGCACGGTGCAAGTGAAAGCCATCAGGGATGTCTCAGTGGATGGCAGGTGGAGAACTACTGCATGGGACATGTAGATTTTTAATGGAGAAAAATCCAGGTTTGTAATAAGCATAATTTAAATAGGTTTCTGATTTCCATATTCCTCTATTTCCAAGTCCTCTTATTTCTAAATTCTCCTATTGCACATTTGTGCAATTTTTCCATATTACTGTATTTCTGATTTCCACATTCTCATTAACTTTAGCCATTTGCATATCATCCTCACAATTTTTTTTGCCATATCTGCATGTTATCTATACTATTATTTGTATTTTCTCTAAATTGGCTCACTTTTTTACTTACATTAAAAATGATAAACTTTGTGTCATTACCATTTTGCTAGATATGCTTTTAATGTACATTAACATAAAAACATGACTATGAAAATAAAATGGTCGCATCCACCTAAAAGTATCTTATGTACCAATGGTTAGGAAACTGAAGACCTGTGAGAAACCTTGCTTTATAATTCCCAAGGGGGAGATTTACTATTTTTCTTATTCTTTTTTTTTAAAAGTAATTCACATTTCAGTCTTATAGGAAGATTTGATTAGGCAGTATCAATTTCTCCCTGTAATCCTGGGTTCAAGGAATTTTTCTGAGTAAGGAATGTTTGTCTCTTACATAAGATCAGATGCTATTGAGGGGTTGGTAAATGGGAAATTGGGGCAGCAGGTGATTAAATAAGGACAATGCTCAGAGGCATTAATGTTCGCAGTGGGCAGGAAAATAATCTTCAACTACAACTCCACTGTAGGAATTCATCGTTGTGACAAAGGATGAGCAATTTCATCTTATAGGCCCCTCACTGGCAAGCAAGCAGAGACCACATTTTCTGAATTTGTTATCCTAATGAACACAAAATAATTGAAATTAGGACTAAGAAAATTTGGATTATATGAATTATATGTTCATAGGTAGCCACAAAATCTAGAGTGGAAATATATTCAATTCTGACTTCAATATTTTCCTACTCGTTTCAATTATTTTCCCTACTGTGATTTTCATTTTTACAATCAAAATGGTCACTTGAAAAAAGTCCTTATGAATTAATAACCAAAAAAGCCATACACTGGGTTTCCAACTCTATGTTTTGGAAGCTCAAACACTTTTGGAAGCAACTTCCATGAGCCATTTACTGGCTACCCTAAAACCAGCAGAGAAGGGGCTGGTGACTTTAATTTTTGAAAGGTGACTTCAAATGTAGAAAATGTGGTTGATTTAAGGAGCTTTTCTGGCAGTGGAAGAAAAAAAGGTAAAGGAAAAAAAGGAGGAAGTGACCAGGTATCACTTGCAGCTCCCGAAATTTCTAAATGCTTGTTGGAGACTGTAGGTTGGTTCAATTAGAGGGACAAATCAGGAAAAGCCTGAGGCTCGTCTGAGTCCAGTACAGGCAGGAGCCATATCTGAATCCTCATGTGATTCTCAATGTGAATTTCCCTCTTAACTATCTGAGCCATACATCCTCAAGCATGGCAGAACTCAAGACATGTTGGCAATGAAATTCATTCAATCAAAAGCAAATGGAGGGCTGGCCAAGTGACTTGATTAAGAGTGTGAGCTCTGAGCAACAGGATCGCCGGTTTGATTCCCACATGGGCCAGTGACCTGTGCCAGAGTTGGGCTGCCGCTGAGATGGTGAGAGCATGTGCTCTCAGCAGCAAGATTGCCAGTTCCACTTCCACATGGGATGGTGGACTACGCCCACCCGCAACTAAGATTGAATGTGGCGACTGGACTTGGAGCTGAGCTCCACAACTAAGATTGAAGGACAACAACTTGTAGCTGATGGGTCCTGAAAAACCACAATGTTCCCCTTCCCAATTCTCCAACACTGTTCCCCTCCCTAATAAAAATCTTTAAAAAAAAAAAAAAAAAGCAAACGGAGGGGTGACCGGTCAGCTCACTTGGTTAGAACATCGCGCTCATAACACCAAGGTTGCCGGTTCGATCCCCGCATGGGCCAATGTGAGCTTCGCCCTCCCTAAAAGAGTCAACTATGCCATTGGAGCATGAAAGCAATGTATAACCAATGACCATGGCTGTTCCCCAATAAGAAATAAAATTAAATTAAAAAATGATTTTTAAAAAGCAAATGGAAACAGAGTAAAGAAGCTATGATTAAGCTATAAAACTGGATTAAACAGCTGTGGTAATATGGGTAGGGAATAGAATGTAAAAGTTAAGGTTTATAATTAACAGAGAGGATAGGAGCTAGGGGAGAGGAGAGGGGACTTTTCAAAGTGAGAATGTCTTCATTTTTCATAGCAATGGCTCGTAAGACACTATCAAAAGTTTTAAAAAATATATTTTTTATGATTACAGTTTCAAAGTTTTTCCTTGACTTTAGAAGAATCTTCTGATCATTAATTTCTTATTTGGAGAAAATATTTGTCAAGTTCACCATTTTAGTTTCACTTCAGTTTTAGCCTGTTAAATCCAAGTAAAATTAAATCTCATACTTATTTAAAGATAACATATAATATGATACGACACACATTTAATTTTATATCCTTTTAATCCCTTTGATTCTCTTACTACAGAAATGCATAGATGTCTAGAATGACATCTGGCAAATAGTATTGCTGGCTATTTTTTTAGTGATGGTATTCTGAATGATTTTTATTTCCTTTAATTTTTCTACTGTCACTTTTTAAATTAAAGAAAACCTATGTTTTACAAAAACAATAAATTCATGATTTTTTTTTCAAGGAAACAAATGTGTAACCAAGGTATTTTCTGTTTGTCTCCATGTGCCAAAACAAATCACAAGTTCTTAACTGCAGAGGATAAGTAAGAATCTTGGAAATACAATAAAGAACCAACTAAGAGTCAGATCATTTAAAAAATGCTGAAGTAAACAGATGAAATTTCAGTTAAACAAAGTCCTCTTTTTGTGTTGGGTCATATTTTGCTGTCTCTGTTACTGCAGATTTATGCCAAATAGTATTCAAATTAATTCTTCCCAACCTCAATATAAATGTCTCAAACACTCATTCATGTTTTATGTATAAAACTCCCTTCATTTAAAATTAAATCGTTGAATATGAAACCTTAGAAGAGTCCAAATTTTAAGAAAGAATGTGATCAAAACAGTCTCTAGTAGCTTAACAAGTCTTGCACTTAGCACACTCACTTCCTCTTTGTGCGAGTGTAGACTTAATGAAAGAATCCCTCATTAAGAAACTGAAAGTCTGGATGAACACACCAGCTTTTTGAACCGTTCATTCATAATCCATCCTGTAGATAAAATGGCAATAACCCAGAAAATAGAAAATAATTCTCTATCAGTTTTAGTTCAATTCAGTCAAGTTGGAATTTGCTAGACAGATAAAAGTGGCTGTTTGAACTCTTCAAAGAATGTTTATAAACAATGTGAAGCCTTTTTTGAAGAAACAATCCACAACCTAGGTAGTGTGTTGTGTGAGAGAGAGTGCGAGGTAGCATAAAACTTCAGCTATCCTAATGATGGAATCTGTTTTTGAAATGTTACACTGTAATGCAGCTTCTGGGGAAAAAATAAGGCTGTCAGCTTTGGGGCTCCACAATGGTGTGTTTATAGATTTAATTCATTAGCCTGATTGACTAGCTAAATCCTTCAAGTATCAGCCTAAATATATTATCCAGCACACTTTTTGCCTGCCCTCCCAAAGTCTGAGTTCCATGACCTGCCTGTATGGTCCCATAACTCTTCACATTTGTGCTATCTTAATACTGGTCACACACATTACAATGGCCTGACTGACCTTGACTGACCACCCTCTTCCCACTCCACCACCTAAGCCTTGAGGGCAGGGATCCTAACCGGCTTTCTCTGTAGCCCTGGTATCTTGCCCACTTCCTAGTATATCATGCCCTCAAAAACGACTGTTGTTACTGTTGACAAAACCATGACAAGGTCAAGACTATTCTAAGGAGGAACTTTCTGCAAACATGAGGACTTAAGGTGCTTAGTGAGGGGGGGATGTACAAATGATCAAGTTATTTCATTTGAAGGATTTTCAATATTGAATGAATTTTACAGGGGTGAGGCTAATAATTCTGGTCAGGCCAAGGACTCGGGATTTCTGGTCACCCCGTTTCAGACTCATGAAAAGGGAAATGAAGAGAAAAGGGATGGTTATAGGAGGAATTTAATACATGCTTAAAAGGAATTAGACACTTCAGCTGGAATAAGGATTCTGTCTAGATCCAAAAAGAAATAATTAATTACCCAAAGCCACACTGTATAACTGAGGACATTTTTGTGTGTGTGTGTGTGTGTGTGTGCTATCATCTGGGATAGTGGTGGAAAAAGAACTTGGGAAGTGGCATTTGGAAAGACAATCTTTAATTTTCTGTTTTGTTTTAGAAAGTTTGGAACCTCTACCGCATGTTGACTATACATCCCAGATTTTCTAGGACAGGCACAGTTTCAGATATTATATCCTGTTGTTCATGCAAACATTAAAATGCCCTCTAAATACAAACATTTAGACATACAAAATATATCTCATAACCTGTCTCCTAGATCTAGAAAGTGTGTGAAAATCATTTCTCTTGTATTTCAAAGTTGAAAAATATGGTCACTATTATCCACAGAATGCTTTTCCCTTCAACCTGTATGTATGGAATACAATAAACTATAAATTAATGCCACCAAATGTGAAATTCTAAGTGTGATGTGGATATTTCAAAAGTCTATATCTGAATAAATCATCAGAGTAAAAATAATTCTCTGATGGTTAAGAAACAGAAGCTTTAAAAATATATATATCTCCAAATGTCAGCTGTAATTAAAAACAAAACAAAAAACATGAAAAAAAAGTCTCCAGAATTAAATCAGAATGGCAATTCAGTTAAGTTTAACAAACACATATTGAATACTTACCTCCATACTATACATGGCCATGGGCCAAGATCAAGGGAACCTTGTGAGCCCAGCCTCTGACCTGTAATTTGCCCATTACTGGAGTAGTTTAAAACTATTGGCACCCAACTTTTTAAGCACATAGTCAGGCCTCACTTCAATATTTCCATTAGATAGGAATGAGACATGTCTTAACAATCTAGAGATCACCCAAGGATGAGAAGTTTTTTTCTACAAAGTTTTAAAAAAATAGGATAGGAGATAGGCACAAACAGAGAGGAGGGCTCGAGTAAGGAACAAGGAGTGGTTTTCCCAGGCTTCTCTCCTGCACCCACGTTTAGGCTGATGGTATTAGATGTCCCCAGGTTCGGGGCATGGTCCCAGTTTTCAGTAAAGCTCTGATTGTAGATATTGGGTTATAGTTTACTCCAAAGCCACCAGTAGCAGAATGAGGTGGAGGTGGTGGGTGAGGGGGCAAAGACCCACTCCCAAATAATGTGAATATTTGTAGGGTGACCGAAGGGCAGAACCCCGCTCAGTCTGCGCTGGTATCACCCCTTCCAATTAAAAATGATTAGACTTCAGGCATGACAGCACTGCCACTTAGGAGCTTGCATAAATTAAACCTAGAATTGGGCTTCTATAATGCAACACACCAGTGTGTGCAAAGGAGGGACTGGATGGTCTAGAAAAACATCTGCTTGTCTTATTAAAATGAGAGAGGTAGAAACTCAGAAACCTTCCTCACATGTTGTTCTGAAAACAGGTGACAAAGCCTTATCGAAAAGCTACCCGGTGTGATTCCACAGCAGTCAAGGAGGGGGAGGCAGGGAGTAGGGAAAAGAGAAGGACAGAGATAGGTGACTTGGAGACAGATACTCATTCCACTGTTACTCTAAAAGCCTGCTACTCTTTTAGATGATGAATGAGCCCAAATCTTCTCACCAAATGGCACTGGAACAACTATCCATCCAAGCCAAAGTAATTTGGAGGCAGAGTTCAGTGCTCAGGCTCTGGGTTCAGACAGCAAGGTGTCAGAAATCTGGGAGCCTGCACTAAAGGAATAAGCAAATTCAGAGGTGAGTGAGGGAAAGGACTCTTGCTTATCTTTGGACGTTTCGGTTCTGAGGATTAATTTTTGAGCAGCAGGCTGCAACCTCGGAAATGCCAGGAATTCAATAAATAAACTACTGAAGTCAATGAGTGCCATATGTCTCTTATTAAAAATGCTTTTTACGGGACCTTGATCAATAGGCGAGATAGCAAAAGCGAAAGGAAGTCTGGGCAGCTGTCTGTAATGAGCGGTTGTTTTATTAAAAACAACTTTGGTCCAACTCCCCACAATATTAAGTCTTTTAAAGCGCAGCCCCATTATGCTCAGAAAAAGTCACATGGGGGTTGAACCCCCATTCACAAATCAGGTTCAGAGACCAACCCCTTTCTTAGAGGCGAGCGTTTGCATCTTAGCTCCAGCTGCAGTCCCCTCACTTGGCAGGACAGGTTGGGCAGCATGCCTGGAGAGGGCAGGCTGTGTGTCATGAGGGGTGGGTCCTATTCCTGTAGAACCCAGGTTTGGGGAGGGTTAAGGCAGGACAGGAAACTCAGCATTTGATTAGAGCATGCCACCCACACTTTCGCCAATTCAGAAGTGTTTTAACAAGCCAGCCGTCTGTACTTACTGGAACATACATTTACTTTGACATTCCTTTAAAGTGAAGTGTGCTTTATAGGGGTTTACATTATTTCTACATACATTTCCTGTATTGTGATGACTAGGAACTATCTTTCCCTTCTATTTGATTGCCTAGCTGTGTAGCGTCCTGGTGAACAGAAAACAGTGCAGTTGTCGTTGTCTTAAAATACTCAGAGGAAGTAAGGGGAGAAATAGATGGGCATTTTCAAATACCCAGAAAGAATGGCTGGGTGGGTAGGAGTGGTAAAAGGGTATTTTGCAAAATATAAAATATATAACATCCATAAAATGAAACAAAAGTAGAATTTATCCTGCTAAGCTGGAAAAAAATGCAAGACATTATGGAATTTAAGAGTGTTTGTCGAATGATGGGTATGAGACAGCCCTAAGTTTGATTGTCTAAATTTGAGCATTGAAAACATGGAGTATTAGGTTAAGAGAAAGTGACAAAAGCGTTCAAAAAGCCAGATACTAGGGCAGCCGGATAGCTCAGTTGGTGAGAGTGCAAGCTCTGAACAACGAGGCTGCCAGTTCGATTCCCACATGGGCCAGTAAGCTGTGCCCTGTACAGCTAAGATTGTGAACACCGGCTCATCCTGGAGCTGGGCTGCGTGAGCAGCCAGTATCAAGTGTGAGTGGCTGGCAGCTGGCGAGAGCTGCCATGAGCCGCCGTGAGCGGCTGGCCTATGGCCGGAGACCCACTGCCTCAGCTGGGTAGAGCACAATGATCATAAAACCAACATGGGCCAGTGAGCTGCGTCCTCCACAACTAGACTGAGAACAACTGCTTGACTTGGAGGTGGGGGGTGGGAGTGGGGAGAGGGGGGAGGGGAAAGCCAGGTACTAGGAGTTTGGATTGCTATTTGGGATCTTCTGACAGTTCTGGGTTCAAACAGAATATAGCTTCTTCGCTGGGTCACCTCAGTGCTGACCAGGAGGTGAAAAAAGTCAGCTCAGGAAGCAGTTCAGGGACTTGGCTGGCAGTGCGAAGCTTGGGCACTGTGGTTTGAGCCCCAACACAAAAAGAGCTCAGGTTACCCTCACAGGGCGCTGGGTAAACAACCACATGGCCGCAATGGTTATTGGGCCCTGGTTCCTGACATTCTCTCAGAAGGCCTAACAGGAAGACGGTTCCAGATTCTTTGCTACAATTTATGCTGCCTTCTTGGCATTTACACAGGGCACAGGAGACCTGAAGGGAAGTTTCTCTGGTGACATTTCAGATATTTAAGCCACATACATACCTCATCTCCATGCATGTTTGCCACGTACTTGAACTCGGGAATCCCAATTCTGTGTTCCTTTGGTGAGCGCCCCACAACAAGAACCCACAGGTTTCTGCCTTTACAGGGAAGAAAAATAGAAAAATAAATTGTCTTTTAAAATGACAAATGAACCCTGGGAGAATGACTAAAGGAAACAAAAGATGCTGCTTGTCCTACCTGATTAATGTTTCAGGATGACTAAAGTTCACGTGACTAACACCTCCGCGCTTAAAATGCTCCTAGTTTACTACCAGCCAAAACCCTTCCAATTTAAGCACAAATATTGAACTTACTATTTCAGAAGGCGATTTTTAAAAATTGGGGACTTATTAGGCTATGCAGGTCGTATGTTTCCAAAATGTTTATATACGTTGCTCTGAGTTCCTTGTGCTTTGTAGAAATGATCTTTCTAATTCACACAATTATATAAACTTAAACTATAGTTGATGGTTGACTGAGAGGGTGCTGTAACTCTCAGCATAAGGAAAGTGTGTGGGGGGAGTGGGGATGGAAAGCTACAGCAATAAAACATGTATGAATACCTCAGAAGGGAGATTGTTTTTAAAGTAAGGAATCTTGTATTCAAATGCTGATGGAACACACAGCTCCTTTGGGGTGAGGGTCCTTGATGTGTGTGAGTCCTGTCAGGTGAACTAGGAACCACAGTCCATCTTAACAACACCTCAAGGAAAACTTCTCAGTCCTAATCCTGCCACAGATGGTGTGATTTGGGCAAGGAAAGGCAGAGATGAAAGGTCGTTGAGGGTTTGTTCTTTGTAGACCTTACAGTTGGTGCTCTGGTTCACATTATCTCAAGTAACCCCTCATCCTGACTCACTGAGATGGACCCTCAAAAAATACTAAGTAAACTGCTTGTGATCACAGAGCTGGTAAGAGGCTGTGATTTGAGCCTCAGAGCCAAGGCCTGTTTGATTTCAATTCTAGTGCTGTTTTCACTAATGAAAATGGCCAGTTCTCAAGAGGCTTGGTTTCCTAACCAGTAAAATGGAAGAGGTCCCTTTCAATTCTAAAATCGCCTGGCTCTTTCAATATAAACATTTTAAAATCAGAGGTTGGGGGTTATATGTTTGATATCTATCACATACGTACAAAGGTCAAATAACCTGCACTATTTAAGCCTTCTGTGGACATCATGAGCCCAGGAAAGGCATTTAACAGCAGCTAATGGGCTAATATAGAGCAGGTTTCTGCAGAATTTCAGATCTAGTTCCTTAAAATGGGGGTCCCACAGGCTGGGAAGACTCAGCGCCATGAGGAACCCAGGGAGAAGTAGATAATGGACTTGTCTTTTTCACCATTTATTCTTATTATAACACTATTTTAGGGAATTTTGTCATGACAGGGTGATGCATTAAATTTAGTAACTGTAGGGATTCTCAGAAAACACCCCCAAAATGCAGTTTCTCTGATTGATGCCATATGTTCAGCGCAGAGTCCCATTCATTCATTCACACACTTATTAAGTACTATTAATACTTTATCCAGGTGTTTACCCAGGTGACTGTACTGTACAGATAAGTCACACTCTCCACACCCAGTGAGTCTCTGAGCTAGTGGAGAAGAGCAAATGCAAACATACAATGACACAGACTGTGACATTTGTGATCATAGAACTGTGTATAAGTTGTTGTGGATGTGGAATAAAATAAGAAATGGTTAACTTTCAAAACTTTACAGATGGAGGAGAATTTTAGGACTGACTTCTGAATATGATTCTGAAGAATGATTCTGAGTTTGCCATGTGGACAAGCCCAGTCACACGGTGATCTCCTGCCTGAACCATTTCATGAACCAGAATCTTCCGTTCTCCAATAATACCAATTCTCAGGTCATTTGGAGTCAATTCTACACAGTGAACATTTTCATGTGAAGCAAATGAGAGGTTTTTTTGAGGAGCAAGCTATTCAACCTGGCTCTTTACGTTTCCTTCTGGGGAATTCTTTTAGGTAGCTATTAATACGTTTAAAGCTCGAATGATCACATTTATACAGAATCTAATCCGTTCACAGGCAAGGCAAAAACTTCAATATCATCTTAACATAATATTTACCTACTCTGCATCTGCCAACTGGCCTGTTACATAAAGGAGAGTGTAATACAACAAACAAGCTGACAAAGTGGATAGTCAATATGATTCGGTTTAAGGAGGGAAACCAAACCAATAAAACCTAAGTGAAGAAGTACTTTGGTGGGTAACTCAATCTCAATTTTAGCACAGATGGCCCCTAGGTGAACTGCAAGATGAGAAACTCAACTTGAATAACCTCACTGGCACAAAGGCTGAGAATGAAATCAACCAATAAATCTGGAAGATATTCATGCAATGCTTTGGGAAAGACAAACCTCTTGAAGGGTTTTAACCACCCTCTCCAATGAACATTGGCTGTCTCTGGCTTACACCAGAGCTAATGCACAAAGGACAAACTATTTACTTTTCACAGCCTGATTGCCAAGGTAAGGGTAATTCAAACAAGATATTTTTTTTTTCTATCAAGGTTGGAAAGGTTACCTTTATTCCCCAAAGTTCTTGCTAATACCAGGTGTGCTAAAGAGTTCTGAAATGCTTGGCCTCTTTCTCCTCACTAGAAAGTAAACAAAACTTGGATTCCAAACATTTCAGTATCTGTATTCAGGAACTTACTCGGGGCTTCACACAAACCCCAGTGATGTGTGATGGGTTCCCAACTGGGTTTGCTTGGAGGATCAAGAAAAGTCTTACAATTCAGAAGGATTCACAAAGATCCACAAGAAAAGAAAGCATACAATAAGTGCCACAAAGTACTATAGGAGTTCAGAGAAAGCAGGAAAAGCTCAGAAAATTAAGTACAGCTTCAACACGTGGAAATGGGAGTAGTGTCAGTCCCACATCAGAGTCACCTGGATCCTTATAAAACTGTCAATCACTTTGCTCAGTCTCCTAAATCAAACTCCAGGGGTAAAGCCTAAAGTCTGCATTTATCAGGCTCCCTTGGTGACTCTGAGGCCCATTAAAGTTTGAAAGCTACTGTGACTGAGGCAGTGAACATCCAGATAGATTTGGGAGGCAGTCAATCTTTAAGTAAAATCATCTCATTTTTCATATAATCATGAACACGTTTCTATGTTGACAAATATAGGTACTTCTATATCTTTTAAATGACTGCTTAATATTTAATGCATGAATGCATTACCATTTATTCCAGCAGTGCTCTATTGTTAGGTTTCCAACAATAAGTATTTTATGTAAATGTCAGCACATCCAGTAAAATTACGTACATGAAAATATAATGAGGATATTTTATAGCGTGAAAGAAATCAGAATGCAAAATTATAGAACTACAACCATGTAAAAACAGACCATTCATTAAAAAAGACACCATGGAAGGAAATAGCTCTACCACATATAAACCTTTAAATTAAATTATGGATGAGCCCCTATAAGAATTGAAAATAAAAAAAACAAAACAAAACCCCACAACCAACACATGCTTTTAAATGAACCAGATAAACTATGCTAAAAAAACCAAAAAGAACTGAAAACGTTACACTGTCAGCGATAAGGGACTAAACGATAGGGTGATAAAACCAAGTTTTTTTCACTTTTCCATCTTTTTTTAAAAATAAAATATCAAATCCTACCATACATTAACTCCAGATACTATGTGCTAAGCACGATGCAATGTTACTTGATCTTCACAACATCTCTTTGTGGTGGACGATATCCACAATTTATTGTTGAGGAGACTGGTTTAAGTGGCACAAACAGGGTTCAACCCCAGGTCTATCTGATTCCAAAATCTGTGCTTGTCTGGTGACTCTAGGCTGCCTCAGTCTCCCTGAAATACTATTGGGTTGTTGGAAAAGTCATGACGCATGTTTGCAACAGATGGCACTAGTTCATTTTTGGAAGTACTAGAGTCATTCACATCCATGTTATTGCTATGTCATTTGACAGGTGACAGTTCTAGCTTCATTCTGAAAAAAAAAATTGAGCAATTTGGTTGAGTTTTGGAGATTTTACAATAAGTTGAATATAAAAGACCAAACTGTGCATTTTTGCCATATTTTACTGTTTTACTTCCATAAAGGGAAGAACGCGCGTCAAGCTTGTGAAAAGTTGCATAAAGTTTACAGTGACAATGCTCTACAAGAACGTCAGTGCCAACGATGGTTCATGAAATTTTGTGCTGGTGATTTTGATCTCAACGACGCTCCTTGGTCAGGGAGGCCCACCGAGGTCGATGATGACAAAATAAAGGCATTGATTGAGTCAAACCCACGTTACACGACACGAGAGACTGCAGAAACATTGAACATCCATCATTCAAGCATTCACCACCACCTGAAGAAGCTGGGATACGTAAGCAAGTTTGATATTTGGGTTCCGCATGAACTCAAAGAAGTTCATTTGATGGCGCGTATAAACATCTGCGATACACTCATTAAATGTGAGGAAAACGATTCTTTTCTGAAGCGACTGATAACTGGGGATGAGAAGTGGATTGTTTACAATAATGTGGTGCACAAACGGTCTTGGTCCCGACGTGATGATTTGCCTCAAATGACATCGAAAGCAGACATTCATCAGAGGAAGCTTATGCTCTCAGTGTGGTGGGATTTACAGGTGTCGTGTTTTTTGAGCTTCTACCATAGAACCAAACAATCAATTCAAATGTGTACTGTCGGTAGTTGGACAGTTTGAACAAATCCATCATCCAGAAATGTCCAGAGCTTGTTAATTGTTAAGGAGTTGTGTTCCATCGTGACAACGTGAGACCACACACAAGCTTGATCACCTGTCAAAAATGATTGGAGCTGGGCCAGCTGAGGGGCGCGATGGTTAAGAACTGGCTTGGGACGCCAGAGGGCCCCGGTTCAGATCCCACATATGAGGGCCAGCGACACTGTCCTCCACAGCTAAGATGCTGAACAACAGCTCAACCTGGAGCTGGGCTGCCGTGAGTTGCCGGAGACGGCGTAGGCTGCAGCCCCTGTGGCAGTGGGTTGCCATGGGCTACCGTATGTAGCCAGCAGCCAGCGTGAGCGGCCAGCAGCCACAGTGAGCGGCCGTCCAGAA